GGGACACAGGTTCTAACCTGAGCCCTGCTGGTTGTGAGCCATGCACCCCTCCATCTGCACCAGGAGGGCAATCACAGAACCTGCCTCACGGGGCAGCTGTGTAGCAGGTGGGGGGTCCAGGAGGCCATGCTGGAAAGCACCTGGCCTGAAGGGGGTATCTTATTACTCTCAGCTGGGAGACTCCGGTGCAAGACAGGGCGGGTGACAGAGGAGACACTAGGAAGCCCCTGCTCCCATTTCCCTGTTTCTTCCCACCCCGTCCATATGCCCACAATTCTGACACGGCTGTCCCCTCCATCCGGCCAGAGTACTGAATCCTACCTTTCCGACAGAATTACCAAATGCATTTTTTTTTCATATTACTACGAGTTTCAGTTAGAATGAATGAATTCAGCTGTAAGTAAAATTCCTGCCCGGCAGTGGCTGAATCAATAAAGTTGGTTAATTGTCTTGTGTAACAAGTCACCAAGTCATCCACAAAAATGTCCCTGAGGTTTTTCTTTTTTTAATAACTTTTTCAGGGCCGCCTGGGTGGCTCAGTCGGTTAAATGTCCGACTCTTGATCTTGGCTTAGGTCTTGATCTCACAGTCGTGAGTTCCAGCCCCGCATCGGGGCTACACGTGCAGCCTACTTAAAAAAATAAACAAAATAATTTTTCCGGTCAGCCGTCCCCAGTGTGCCAGCTTCTGGTCCTCAGCCATCCCCAGTGTGCCAGCTTCTGGTCCTCAGCCGTCCCCAGTGTGCCAGCTTCTGGTCCTCAAGACTCATCACCTCAGGGCTGGCTCAGCTCCGAAACCTGCCAGTGGCTGGAAGAGAGGGAAGCTCCTAGTCTTTGTTTCTTTTCATTTTTTCATTTTTTATTTTTTTAAAGATTTTATTTATTTATTTGACAGAGACACAGCGAGAGAGGGAAACACAAGCAGGGGGAGTGGGAGAGGGAGAAGCAGGCCTCCCGCCGAGCAGGGAGCCCGATGCGGGCCTCAATCCCAGCACCCTGGGATCATGACCTGAGCCGAAGGCAGACGCTTAACAACTGAGCCACCCAGGCGCCCCGTTTAAACAAGGGAACAAATGCCCTCCCACAGTCCTCCTAACAGACCTCCCCTTACATTTCAGGGACCAGAACTGGGTCACCAGCCCCCTCCTAAACCAATCACGCCCAGGGGAAATGAGATGTCTGGCTGGATTACACCTGTCACAGCTCAACCCCAGAGGCCAAGGGAGAGACTCGTCTGGAACTGGAGTAAGTCAGCAAGAAGGGTAAAGGGCCTGCCACTTGACATGATGAGCCCCTTGAGGATCAGAGGAAGGAGCTAGAGCCCAGAGTGGCTAAGTCCCTCATCCAAGGCCACATGGGACTTTGCAGAAGGGCCAGGGTGAAAACACGGCCACCGGCTCAAGGAGCACTACCCGCTTCACCACGGTGCTTCTCAACTAATTCTAGCTCACTCTAAGCCCCCAGAGGGCAGACACCCCATTCCCGGGGCTCCCTGAGCTGGGCCAAAGGCATGATATGGACAGATTCAACACTGTTATAGAAGACAGCCCCCAATGTACCCAAATGTGCCTGACGCACCTAGAAAGAGCTTGGCAGGCAAGTCAGCAGGAACGCAGAGCCTGACAAACAGCATCTCTAAAGCTGCCTGGACAGCCGCCAAGCCGCCTCACTCCCCAGGGCTGACCTCATACTTCTGAAGATCCTTAAGATGCCTGAGGTCTGTGCGTTGCCTCCCAGGCTGCAGGCTGGGAGCCACGCAGAGAGGTGGGAATGCAGAATCCAAGCAGCCCACCCCACCACCCACCCCTCTCCTGCCAGAGCCTCCTGCCTGTGCCGTGCAGGCCCCATTCCAGAAGAAACTGAGCAACACCCTCCATCCTCCCAGATGAGGCCTGTCCCAACCGGTCTTCCTGCCTCCACCAATCGGAGGGGATGCCTTGAAGAAATTCTCACACTCTGGCTATTCCTGTCTGTTTTTGCTCCAGACTTCTGGAAGGGGAACGAAAAGCGGGCAGACCTCATCAAGGTGCTAAGAATATCTCTGAAGTCAGTTCTACCACCTCAAAGAGAGTTGGAGAGCTCAGGGCCCGGCTGAGGCCTGCGCTTAGTGATAACAGGAATTGTTTACTAAACCCAGAACTGGATCAGGCCTTTCCGTGGTAACTAACAGCAAGGGCTCCCAGGCCACTGAGGCCACACGTGCCGGGTGTGGGGGTGGGGGGTTAAGCCCCTTCATGCCCTCTGCCTCCACTTCCAGACGTTCTTCCCGGATCAAACAACCTACTGTGCGCAAGGCCCTCAGTAGGTAAGGTGAGCAGCCTGGGGAAAGGGCAGGTAGCCAGCCCTCCGGGACACATGAGCTCCCTTCCGAAACCTCCTTACAACCCACCCGCTCAGCCTGCAGCTCCAGAGCAAGGCATTTGTCCTTACCCACGTTCACTGAAAAGTTTTAATTCCCCTTGTAAACAAAACAAAACAAAAAAACCCCACAAGGGCTAAAAATCGTGTGATGGGGGAGAGGAAAGGTGTCACTTACTTGCCACGCTCTCTTTGGCCTGACCCAGGGGAAGCCGGCCCAGCGGCTGGCAGTTTTAAACTTTCCTTTCCTTCCACAAGTTTTTCTCAGAACAGTGGCTCCCACTCCTCAGAGCTGAAAAGTCTGCATACCTTGAAAGTATGCGAGCTGCAGGGCCATGCGAACAGACTGGAATTTTCCATTTATAGAATAATAATCTTCATACCACTCTAGGGGCCGGTGCTCTTGTGGTCAGAGCTCAGAGCTCAGTGTCAGCAAACCTGCTACGCTTCTGTGCGCTCTTTTATTTATTTTTGGTGGGAGAGGGGGAGAAAAAAAAAAAAAAGGAATGACTTTTTAACTTGAGTGCCAACACAAACTTTAAAAAGGAACTGGGTTGGCAAGTGCAGAATATGACTGCCTGGTTTCATGACTTAAATCAACCGTTAGGGAGCAGGAGGTGAAGAAGAGGCTGAGAAACAGATCTTCAACCCTTCATGCAGACAGGTGGCTAGAAAAGGCATCATGTTACTGCCCCAAGTCCTTCCCTGTGCCCGCCACCTGGCTTCCGGACCGCTCCCCGAGGGTAGGGCCCAAGCAAAGGGCACAAGGCCCCATCTCCTAGCTCCTCTTTCTGTCCCCTGGGACCCACACTCGATTTCTGCTGATGCACACACAGACTTATGGTCTGAAATACCTTCGGGGTCCATGTGTAACAGGAAGGCCACCAAGCCATTTGTGAAGGGCCCTGAGTTCCAGTTCTGGCTGTGACATATTCACCGTGTGACCTTGAAGAAATCCTTCTCTTCTCTGCGTCTTTTCTTCATCTGTAAAGTAAGGTTGGATTGAATGATCACAAAGGTCCCTTCCAAGGCTGGCAGTCTGACTCCCCCACTCATTCTCAAGTAAACCGGTGCCAGCATGAGGTTCTGGGCAGCCCCTACTGGGCCATTCTAAACCTGTCGGACACAGCCAGACCCAGAAGCATAGCCTCCTGCCTAATGAGGGCTGTCAGCACCAGCTGCCCCCGACCCCTGTTTCCGTAGCCAGAGCACACAGCCAAAGAGGGGAAGGAAAGTCCTGACCTGCCCACCTTGCCTGCCAGCCCAGCCACTAGAGGAGGCATTTTCCCGGTCCCATAGAACCCTGAGGAATCCTCCGCAGGACCTAAAACCTTTCCTACTTTCCATTTTTTTAAAAGGTGTTGTTCCCTTCTCCCAGGAAGGGCGCAACCACCTCCCACCCTCCTAATCAAAAATCTTCCCATTTTCCATTGTTTTTACAAAAATATTTGACTCATTTTAAAGTATTAAATACTAACGCTGAATATGCTTTATTTTTTTCAAGCTGCACATACAGCCCATTTTTTATACAGCCCCCCCCCCCGGGGGAGGGGGTGAGAGCTTCACACACACACCAATCACTGTCCGAAGGTGGAAGATTTTCTGGCCCAGCCCCCATCCCTACCTAAGTCACCCGCTAATGGCCACCCAGTCTCTGAACACCTGTTGGGAGTCTGCAGCGTGCTGTAGGAAAGTCCTGATGCTTCCACTAACTACAAGAACCATAACCTCTCTACAACCTCAGAGATTCGTGCGAAGATTTCAGCCAGCTGAAAGCTCTCCAAAGCACCGTGCAAACGGAAGTTACTCGATTGTTGGGGCAGCTCTGTCTTGACGACTGCAATCTCAGAGCGCGCCAAATCCTGCCTCCCCACAGCTTGTCCTGCTGACGCTGGTGAGCGGGGAGAGGGGGCTTCTCGGAAGGCTGACCTGGGGCATTCAAGGCTGGGAGGAGGGTGCGCGAACCTTGGGGCGTTCCCCCATCCCCACGCCTACCCGTGCTCTCCGTGAGTCTCGCCACCCGACCGAGGGAGACCCAGGCCTAGTCACCTGCTCCAAACTCAAAGCACAGCGCTCAGGCGAAGGCGGTCCCCAGCAGCAGCCCCTCCCCTCCCTTCCCCTCGTCTCCCCCTACTTCGCCCTCCCCTCCCAGCAGCGCAGGCAGGGCACGCCCCCTCCCCCAGATTTACCAATCGGCGTCCCGAGCGGCGCCCGTGGCTCAGGGGGCTCTGGTCAGCAGCCAATTAGCGCCCGGGCCCAAGGCGGCGCTTCGCCCGCCCCCTCGCAGAATGAAAGCCGCCCGCAGCTGGCGAGGCTGGCGCAGCGCGTGGGGCGCGGGAGCCGCGCGGGCCGGAGCGGAGCGCGCGCACTGCCCGCCCGCCCCCGGCGCGCCCGCCTCCGCTCCGCTCCGCCTCCGTCCGAGGCGCGGGCAAGGAGGCCGGGGCGGGGTAGCGCAGGGGGCAGGGCCGCGGCCGCGAGGCCGAGCTTAGGGGGGTGGGGGGGTGGACGGGGAGGAGCGGGACCCGATAAAAGGCTGCGAGGCGGCCCCACCCCGCGGCAGGCCGGCGGGCAGGCTCGGCGCGTCCCTTCCGTCCGCCCCGCGCCGGCGGCGGGGAGGCGGCGCGCGCGGCCCGCAGCCCGCCCATGGAGGCTTTCCCCTGGGCGCCACGCTCGCCCAGCCGCGGCCGCGCTCCCCCGCCCATGGCGCTCGTGCCCAGCGCCCGCTACGTGAGCGCCCAGGGCCCGGCGCACCCTCAGCCCTTCAGCTCGTGGAACGACTACCTGGGGCTCGCCACGCTCATCACCAAGGCGGTGGACGGGGAGCCGCGCTTTGGCTGCGCCCGCGGCGGCGGTGGCAGCGGCACCTCCCCGCCCTCCTCTTCCTCGTCGTCCTGCTGCTCCCCCCACGCGGGGACCGGGCCCGGGGCGCTGGGGCCGGCGCTGGGGCCGGCCGACTACGACGACGACGACGACAGCGACGAGCCAGGGTCCCGGGGCCGCTACCTGGGCGGCGCGCTGGAGCTGCGCGCGCTGGAGCTGTGCGCGGGCCCCGCCGAGGCCGGGCTGCTGGAGGAGCGCTTCGCCGAGCTGAGCCCGTTCGCCGGTCGCGCCGCCGCCGTGCTGCTGGGCTGCGCGCCCGCCGCTGCACCCACTACCGCCGCCGAGGTGGCGCCGCGCGAGGAGCGGGCCCCGGCGTGGGCGGCCGAGCCCCGGCTGCACGCCGCCTCCGGGGCGGCCGCCCCCCGACTGCTCAAGCCCGAGCTGCAGGTGTGCGTGTTCTGCCGGAACAACAAGGAGGCGGTGGCGCTCTACACCACCCACATCCTGAAGGGACCCGACGGGCGAGTGCTGTGCCCGGTGCTGCGCCGCTACACGTGTCCCCTGTGCGGAGCCAGCGGCGACAACGCGCACACGATCAAGTACTGCCCGCTCTCCAAAGTGCCGCCGCCGCCGCCCGCCGCCCGCCCGCCGCTGCGCAGCGCCAGGGACTGCCAGGCCGGGAAGAAGCTGCGCTGAGGGCCTGGGCTTCGGTCTGCTGCCACCTGACGCCACCAGGGTCACCGCCTGCCCGCGCTCTCATTTTCGGCCTGCGCACCATCTTTTCCTCGCTGTTGGAGAGGCGTGGAGCTCGGCAGTTGAAGCTCAACTTGGGAAGTCTTTTTTTTTTTTTTTTTCTCCCCCCCCCTCCCCCCAAGCAAGCCGAACGTACGGAGTACTTTTCTGTCGAAGAACGGTTGAGACTAGACGCTAAAATCTTGATTTATCTCTGGTTTGTAGTTTGTGCACATCCGGACGGTGAAGGCTGGGTGTGTATTCCACTACCTGAAATATGGCAACTTAATCGCGCTGTTTATTTACTGTATACGTCTATCTATTTTAGATGCGCATCAGTATGAATTGTCTCAATCTAATCTCGGATGTTTAATTTTATGGAGGCACTTTACTAGGTCTAGAATATTTTTTTAAAAGCCTCATAACTGAAAACTGGCGATTTTATGGAATGTCGGCAAAATGACTATTTTATTGTTTGGAAACAATATTTCTTAGTTGTCCTTAATCAGTTACTCTAATTCCAGGTGAAGCACGCCCCTGGCGGCATCACCGTTTTGAAAAGTGAAGGTTTAGTAAACTTTCCAGTATTAATCTGTGTGGGTAGTCCCTCCTTGTGGCTTGTTGCAGTCTTGGCTGGAGGTGTAAAAATGCACAGCTCCTTATCCTTTTATGTACCAGATCTTTTTATTACTAAACTAGCAACTAGCATTTCCACCCTGAAAAATTGTGCCAAGTTATAATCCTATTGTGTATACACTTGGAAATTGGTGCTGTTTAAAAAAACTTGTGTATTTATACAGTAACAGTATATGAATTCATTTATCTTGCCTATTTGCTACTTGGCCTTTTGTCCATGCACCCACCTTCCCATTTCCATTTCTTCAAAAACATCTGTAACATTAAGATCAAAAGGGAGCAGTATTAATTCACCCTGCTCAATTTCAGAGTTCCCAAATAGTAGAAAGCTCATTCCCGCTGTTGTCTCCCAAACTGAATGGAAGATGCAATCCTTTGAGCTCCGGAAGACTAATGTAATAGCCTGTGTTCAAGAAGGTTCCACTATGGGCTGTGTCTGGCTTTAGGCCCAGGCAGTCCTCAAACCAGAATAAGCACTGAAGGAATTACGGAGTAGGGGTTGAAGACAAGAAACACAGCCTCCCCCGTGCTCCCTTTTTCCCTGGAAGACCCTAGTCTGTTTCTGGAATCCCACCACTTACCCACAAAGGAGACTGACCCTATCCTTAGGCCAACTTTAGCTCCCACCCTCATTTATAGCCATGCCAGATGCCACACCATGGCTTGTAGCTACCATCAGGACAGATAGAGGAAGCAAAAATGGAAGTGAATTCGGATAAGTGTACAAAATACATCACTATCTGAAAATCGCAGCAGGAGATTTAGTCATATCTACTTAAATCCAAGTAGGAGAGTTCGGCTCCTTTATTAGACATTAGACTGTTTTTATATCAAACAGCTAACTTCCTCCACAGCAAATTGGCTTGAACGCTCCTTTGAGGGTATAACAGACGCTGAGGTAAATAATATTGGAAGGCTGTGAGCCTTTTTGGTCAAAGGAAGGGGGGGTCAGAACAAGGCGGGGAGGTGCAGGCAAACAGTATGTTGGCCAAGAGAAATCCATTCCTGCTAGTCCAGCCCCAGAACACAGAACTTTAGATGTGACTAGTCTTAAACTCAAGGACCTTAATAAAACCATGTGATTATTCTTTTGTTGTGCTAGAAAATACAAATTTTGGTCTCAGATAGTACATCAATAGAATTCCTGTTACCTCTCCTACTGCCGTTCTACCTTTTCAAAGAGCACTAGTCTTTCTCCAGCCCAGAAGGACTAGGCAGGCAACTACTTTGTATTTTCAAAAGACACTCTATTTCTAGGTGTCAAGCACTTGGCTTTGACGTGTTCAATATGAACACCCCTCAGTGATGAGATGCGCCTAATACGAATTTGATATTGATACCATCGGTTTTAACGGCAAACATCATGTCCATTCATTTAAAACACTATCAGCCCCCCTCAAATTTGCCCCTTTTCCAGCTAACATTAAAACAAACACTGGGAGTTAGAGCATGCACAGAGAGTATTACTACAGTTAATCTTCTAGAGATCTCTTAGGAAAAGTATACTAACCACACTAAGGCACTTAAGAGGACCAAGCATAGAACTCTGAATCTAAAACTTTAAGTACTTGCAAAATTAAATTTAGGGTGCCGGGCACCTGGCTGGCTCAGTGATAGAGCATGGCACTCTTAATCTTGGGAGTTGTAAATCTGAGCCCCACTTTGGCAAGTAGAGTTTACTTAAAAATTTAGGGTAAAAGAAACCTACTAATTTTTTAAAGTTTAAAGAAATAATAGTGTGACAAAGTTATCTTGTTTTTATAAGAATATGCCTGTATATTTGGCTAAAAACAAAACAATGCATGGAATCCTCAAAAGTGCTTTACCAGCTCTGCAGGCAGATTGCCTTACCTTGCTGGTCCTTTTCTGTAGACACATTTGCAGGGAGTAGCTTTTTATTTCTTTGGATTTTAATTTTCCTATGCAGTCCTTTTTGGAAGCTGTAGAATTAACTTTGATTACAACTTTCGGCCTAAATTTTAAGTAAGCCAAAATTATTTTAAAATTATACTACAAATATATCTACCTCAAGGGAAAGGGCAGGAAAGTTTCAGTGTTGGTCCGCACCTTCTAGTCTGTGCTTAACCACATGAGGAACATTCCTGCATTCCTTCCAGTGTCCAATTATCTATGTCAATTAGACTTGTAAAATTAGAAATGAATCTACAGTCAAAATGTCTTTGGTAAAAAAACAAAACACAGATAAAGCACATAAAAGCATCCCAACACATAGATTCCCACCTCTTCCTGGAAGCCAGTAAGGACAACTAGGGGGATGTAGAGTCTTTTCTGGGCCACTGTCTCCACCCTCAGATCCACATGTTATTAGCAGCATGGTGTTCTTGTGTAAAAATGCAGAAGCCACTGGGAACATGACATTCTATGCACAGTGAGTAGGTTGGATGTTCAGCTTTCCTTTGACACCTGTGAATACTGGGGGATGTAGGGGAAGGCTGTGAGGCCTTGAGTAGAAACTTAAGAGTAGGACCACAAAGCAGCAGCAGACTCTTCTGCCCCCATCCTGTGCTTGGGATTCCAACTCCTAGGACAAAGAACTTGGGGGCATAGTATTTATCTGGGAAAGCGTTCTCGCAGGAAGGGCAGGTTTGCAGACTAGCCTAACCATCAGACATGCATCCATAACTCATCTAAATAAATCAGCTTAAATGAATGGTCCCCCGGGGCCAATCAGTGCTGTCACAGGTACAGTCCTGTTCTAATGATTGGGGAGACTCAGCAGGTTACTGCCCCAAGTTCATTAATTTGTTAAAAAGAGCAGGCCCTCTCCCCAAAGACCTTTTAAGATTTCCACTTGTTTGAAATACTAGATATTAAGGAAATTAAATGTTGAAAAAAGTCATTTCCATCACCGCTAACATCAAACAGAAAAGGCTGCATCTGATCATTTTTAAAAAAGCATCAATACTCCCTCTTCTGGCCGCCTTATAGCTGTACCAACAGGAATTCTCACCACCACCCAATACTGGAAATAATTTGCATGTCTGTAGCCACTATCAATTTGCTACTAATATTCTCTGAAATTATATTTTTTTTAATTTCAGGGGCATACCCAAAATAGTAAGCCACCCACCTACCCAGACCCCATGCATACTAGCTCAGAGAGAGGACAGCATTATAAGGAAACTAAGCGGGGGGGGTTCCTTAATTAAGGAAGGAAACATCCTAGCCACGTTGGCTTTCTATTTGAGTTACTTTCTTTGATCCTAAACAGATATTTAATGGCAACAAAAAAAAACCTCAAAACAAACTCAACTAGATTTACAAACTCACCATAGTAAGTAAACCACTTTGACTGTAACTACAAATCAACACTAAAACAAATTCTGTAAGTATTTTATTTATCATTGAAGAAAAAACACAGCAGCAAGTTCTGTGTTGGCTTCAATAAGACCAAATAGTTAATCTTTGACATTGCTACAACACTCCAAAATTGAAGTCAACACAGTCATTACTACAAATTACTTGTTGAAAGAATCTATCCTGAAGAGAAAGAAAATTAGGAAAAAGAATTTAAACAATTCCTCCAAACCACACATTTATAAATATTGTCATATTTAAAATGCTTGAAAGGCATGAATTCTCCATTAATGGAAAAGCAGTTTGCTATTGGCAACAGAAAAAAACTCAGCAATAGTTTACCAAATGCTTTAAAATTTAAAAGCCGTAACTGATTTGGATTCACACTTGAGCAGTATTCTTGTCATTACAATAATGACTGCAAATTGCTTTATACTCACCTCTCAAGTAAAAGCTACAGAAAATCCCACTGTATCCAATGTTTGTAATGTTTACTGCACTTAGTGAACCTAAAAACTTTCTAAATGTAGTTAATATAGTAAATACCTCAAAATACCTAGAGGTATGTCTCAACCGCTAATGGTGTGGAAGTCGTTTCAGCCCCTGCTTTTGAAGAGTCTTCAAATACATTTTCTCTAACAGAATCATACCTCATTCCAAATTAATATAGTATTTCAAAAACAAAAGAAAAAGATCAGTTCTATACCAAGATACAGGTGTTACTCCATACCTGACAGGTTCACATTTTCAATTTATTTTTTAGTTTTTCTTTTTTGTAAACAAACGATTGATGAAATAATGCAACACCTTAAATTCCAGAAAACGGCCTGCCTGTCCAACCTCCTGTGGACACGGTGCACAATCAATCTATTATAGAGGATTAATACAAGTTCATGCTTTTTGTTATGAGACAACATTAAAGAATCCAATTTAGACTGGTTGAAGCACAGTATAATAATCCTTGAATGTGATCAAACCTATGTGAGACATGAGTTTGAATCCATTATCTT